TTGAATATTTCATATTTTTACTATTATTTACTCAATATTTGTCATTTAGATATTACTGATTTATCTATATTTTGGGTTTATGATACGATCCAAACTAGCTATAACTTTCTCCATGACTTGATCACACTAAAGATGTTCTTCAAAGTTGATTCTAAGGGAGTTCTCCCTTACTTTATCCTTTATTATCTTCTGTATGCATCATTTAATGTTATAAGCATGCTTTTGTTCCTTAAACTATGCTTGAATAATCATATGTTATCATTCACTTGCATAATATATGATTTTCATGCATAACATATGTTTCCACATCTTAACTTAGCTTTATATTATGTTTTACATATGTTTTAGATTCATTTATTATGTTTGCATATCATTTACATATCATGGAAGCGTGTATTCATTCATTCATTAACTCATGTCATGTTATTTTAGCTCATGTTATGTTTACATTAGCTCACTAGCTTTACATCCATGTTTCTTTAGCTCATTTGCATGTATGCATCTTTTTTCTAGCTCATATATGTTTTCTTAAAGATCATGAACGTCCTATGCCATCTATCTAGCTTATATACATGTTATCTTAGCTTCTAGACAACCATTCATAGCTTATATCACTCAAACACCTCACGACATCATGTATTTTACCTTAAATGAGCTCACACATTGCTTACTTGATTTGTTTGTTGATTCGTATAGGTGAAACACAAAGCAAGGCATATTATAGTAGCTTGGTTAGCTAAAATAACAACCATAGTAGCTCACACTAGCTTATGAACGTTATGGCAGCTCATTTCATCACTTAAGGAGGATTCAACTTATGTAGCTGAACTTAGCTGGAGGAGAGCTTTGGACCAAATTTGTGAAAATTGGACTAAAGGTAGCTGGAAGTAGCTGGGAGAGTAGTTGAGGAGCTGAGAAGACCAAAGCTAACTAGATTGAGTTCATCAATCTATAGCTCACATAGTTAGCTACCAAGACACTCACCTAGCTTACCTTGAAGCTAGTTCATCTCTAGACTGCCCATGGACTTCAAGACATCATCCTATGGTTGCAACCTCACCAGAGCATTGCAAGAAGACCCATGTCCATTCAAGTAGGCATCCATGTGCATCATTCAAGTATGTATACTCAATGTGACATCATATAGGAGCCTAAACACCAAGGGATGCTTCATATTCGGTCAAAGATTCATTCTTCTTCATTTTGGCGCCAAGTAACTTCCAAATACATTCAAAACATCCTTAGGGCCGAACCAACACCTTACCATTAGGCCAAGAGCATGTATTTTCATTAAATATGTATTTTCATTAAAAAAATCATGTATTTTTAAAGGGATTTCAACCTTAGTCGAACCATCATGTATCTATTTGGCCTAAACCCTTTGAAAACTATAAATAGGCCATTAGTTTGTCATTTGAAAACAATTCATTTTGCTTGAAATCAATTTATTATGAGGTTATCCTCTTTGCAAGTTCTTTTAAACTTTTATCTACTTATCAAGACACTTAGGTGCTTGTGGTGTCAACCTCTTCTATTTCCATTGATACTTGTGGTTCCTATCTACTTTATAGATAAAGGGTCTAAGTCTGATTCTACCACCCCTTAATTAGACTTGTAAGGTTGGGTCTTTGCTCTCTTATAGCAATGGTTCTTCCATAGTCTATTTAAGATAGTATCCTAGCATTTTCCCTTATTTCTTAAGTCCAAACCATTCATTACAACAACACTTCTGCAACCATTCGTATATAAAAATTAGCCTACCATTAACACCTTTTATTTACCATCAAGCCATCAACTTGTAGCCAATCTTCTTGCAGGTGTTTGCTCTTCACTAGATCCACAATCAAGGGTAGATTAGACTATATCATATGGTATTCAGAGCCTTGGGTGAAGAGCAACGTGCAACATAAGAAGCCTTACAAAGAAAAGTAAAAAGTAAAAAAGGTGCATTCAACCATTGAAGAAAACAACATCAAAGGAAGACTCCAACATCAACTAAAAGGAGTTTCAATTCAACAAAAATGAAGGCCAAACAAAGTGAAGTACTTCAACAACAACAACACCAACAAGGTTCAAGACGTCATCAAGACCTTGATTGTGAATGTGAAGTTGTGAGTGATTTTGCAAGTATGTAACCATTTCTTTTATTTTCTTTCTTATTCTAGCCACCCTTTAAATTACATTTGTTTTTCCATCACCTTAACCAATTGCAGCCATACATACAAAGTACCAAGACCTTGACAAGTCTTGAGTAAAGTTTTATTAGGACCTTCTAAAGAGGACGAGAGGAAAAAGGCACATTGAGAGTGTGAGCACAGAATAGGACAAAGAAAAAGCCATAACAAGTCATGAGTGTAAACACGAGTGTTGAGTGACAATTTTCTTTCTTTGTAGTGTCTAAGAGAGGTTTTGTGAGAGTTTGATTGGTAAAATCCTTTTTCACATTTCAAATTTTTTTTACTAACAATGTTGTTTGATCTTTCATCTTCCCAAGAAATGGAGTACAATCAGCAAAGAGAGATTGCATTTCATACTCGTTGCCATGTAAATGGTAAAGAATGTCTTGTAGTTAGTAGTTTCGATCGGTAATCGGGTAATTTCTAAAAAAATTTATAAAATATTATTTTGAATTTTTAAATTATAATATTATTAGAAAGTGTTTAAATGATTTTTGGAATATCAAATATGATATTTAATAAATATAAAAATGGATTTTATGAAGTGAACAAATTGAATAAATTAGAAATATTGATTTTAGTGACAAAATTGTAAAAGAATCAAATATCAATCTATGAAGCTAGTTTTAGCAAGGCTTTATTTTAGGATTTTCCCTCCAATTTTAACCGTGAGTCTCATTTCCCTTTTTCCATTTTCCTAGCAAGATTCATTCTCCTATATTCCTTCTCATTTTCATTCCTAATTTCATTAAGCATTCTTTTCATGTCTCACTAAGCGTATACTTAGCGTGTGATGGTTTCATGCGTAGGTAAAAGATATCAAGTGGCGTAAGGAGCTTAATTTGGCATCATCTATCGAGCACTATCTCCCAGAATCAGTATGCCATCTTTTAGATGTTTTTATTTTTTAAATTTTCTAGTGGGCATGTATGTTTATGTGGTTATGATACTCTTATATAAATATGTTTAAAACTGATTTGTAGTATTATATATATGCTGACTTATATGATATAGTATTGATCTGTTATGTTGTTGTCTTAAAATAATTTTAATTTGAATGTTAACATAGTATATTTCGATTAAATAGGTTTTGGTTATACTTGTTAAATTTGATGATTTCAAATAAACTAAATTTTATTGATTTTAAAATAAAGAATGTTTTGATAAGTTTATTTGACATTTCTAACTTGTATTTAGAGACGGATACGAAAAGGGGTTTTATAAATATGCTCACACTAAAACTCTATAAAACTAGAGAACTACATGTACCCACTATAAACTCATGCCGAAAATCTAAGATAACATTTTAAGAAAGTCCACACACAAATATACGAGAAAAAAATAAAATTCCAAAGGAAGAGGACAAAATCCCCCCATGTTGCTAATAAAAGCCTAAAAGGTTATGGTATACCACAACTAAATGCTTGAAATTGTCTAGTGTGAACAGAAAAACTTCTCATAGCATTGTCAAGCAAAGTCAACATCCTTCACATTTTATTCGGAATTTTGAAATTCATTGAGTGGCCTCAATTGTAAAATTAAATGATATTTTTTAAAAGAATTTAGATTCGAACAACTACATCTAAAAAGTGTGTGATATCACCTTATAATCACCGTAAACAATTTAAAAAAACCTTACTCCATTGACCTTCAACTAAAGTGGAGAGGCCAACATGAATTTTTGAATTTTAATTAATACATTTCTTTAATGACCATCAGTACAACACATTCTTAAAGTAGAGCCCAGGTATAAAATATCACATCCTCAAGGCAAATTAGGTCATGAATAGGACATCAAGGTTCCCATGTTTAAACAAAGTAGGGCACTATGATTTTAAAACAAAAGGCTTTTGGTTTGTTTATTTTGCTGATTTCACTTGAATGGACGCAGCACTTATCTCCTTGTTGTTGGGATCTTTTCCAGGGCTACCATTCACTGATTTAAAAGGTTAATTCAGCTATCAAAACTTTTGCTCAATGTCACTGTATAATTTGTTTTTCTTATAATGATAGTTTGAAAGTAGCTTTAAAATAGCCAAGTTTGACCTAATTGAAGATTTAAAAATTGAAATACAAAAATCATGAAGGGTATCTAAAATAAAAGAGTATCATTTTTCATAAATGTCTTGAGTTCATGCACTACGTTTGTAAGTGTGTGCGCGTTCATTATCAATTGATAAAAGAAAATGTTGTTTTTCATAGATGTCCTAGTGCTGAAATACATAACTCATTAAGTGACCTTCGTGATAAAAAAAAGAATATTGTTTTTCATAGATGTCTCATGTTTAAACAATTATGTATACAGGGTGTGTGTGCGTCGATTATCAATTAGTAAAAGAAAGTTTTGTTTTTTATGATAAAATATAAATCTCATTAAACGATCTCAGTGGTAAAAGCAAGAGTTATTTTTCATAGATGCCTCAGGTTCAAGTAACTACGTTTTCAGGGTATGTATGCGTCGATTATCAATCGATAAAAAAAAGTGTTGTTTTCATGGTAAAATACAGAACTCGTTAAATGATCTCAATAATAAAAAAGAATATTGTTTTTTTAGATGTCTCGGGTTCAAGAAGTTACATCTTCGGTGTACATGTACGTTCATTATCAATTGGCTAAAAAAATTATAAACAAAAACTAGCTTGTAATCATCTCATGATTAGCTTAACCGGTGGATTTCCCTTATTCTCTGATTAAGGCTTGTTTTTACCAAAAAGAAGTATATATTTCAGTGGTTCAACAGAACTGCCTGCGAGATGCAACATTTAAGCAAGCTGATTCTATTGATCATTGTGCTAATCGAACAACAACAAACGGAAGAAGAAATAATTAGCGGTTAGCCTACAAACAACTATGTCATCTGCTTTGGATTATAAACAAGTTTATTGCTGGAGCAGCATGCATGGATGGAAAACTAAGAAATACAGTTCAATGTTCATCAGTTACCAGCCTCACATGCAGATTGCAGACTAAATCGGCCGACGCTGTATGATGAGACGAGTTTCTATCAGGTTTCGGTTCCTTGTACCGGCGGAGTTTCGCCTCCCTTTTCCGAAACTGTATAAGGGAGCAAACAAATCACTTGCCACTCCTTTTGAGATTACATTTCCTAGCCTTTCAACCTTGTACTTCTGTGTCTAAGGCAGTTGAAACTGGAATGAAGAACCTCCTCTATCTTCAGTTTCGGTTCTTCGATTTCCACAACACCAATTGCAGCAGGTCCTTCATATTTGAATGCTCAAGGTACTTGATATGTGTGTTTGACTTATTGAAGTGTCTCGGCAAGGCTGACAGTAGGCAGCAGCAAAGGTTGCTGGTAACAGTTCATGTCGCCACTGCGCTGAGTTGCAGAAGAATCAATCCCACTGCTCTCCTTTTGCTGTAGAAGCGGGAGAAGAGACCAAATTATACCTTGCCTTTCAACGTGCTTGTCCGCCTGTCATATTCAATATAGGATCAGTTCCTTGAACTCATATCAGTACATTGCTTTCAAGTCTTAACTCTGGCATTTACCTCAACAACGAATCGTGCCCATATCTTATCTTCTTGTAGCTCCATTACTCCCTTCAAGATGTTCAATGGAAAGCCCCGAATGACTTCGGCTATCTCAAGAAAGAATCCTCGATCTTCACAGAGCATCTGTATCGAAGAAATGATAAAAGGCTTAGCAAAAGCATCAACATCATTCAATTAACCACCTTGAGGAGACTTTTCAGACCTCTATAAGAATTTGGCCAGGTTGATTGAGGTCCTTAACTACAATAGGGATACTCTGAGCCCCAACTTCAAATGCCCATGTAGCATCACCACTCGTTGTATTGTGTTTTTGAAGCTTCCCATTCTTCTGGCCAATAAGCTGAAGTTCAAGCAAGTTGTTAACGAATTTAATGTGAACTACAATCACCAAACCCTGAACTTCTTCAGTATCGTATTTCATCGAATTAAAAAAAAATTGTTACCTTTGGTTCATCAGCTTGTTTAATCCTGTCTGCATATTTCGTCACGCCTTGCAAGAAAAGCAGGTATTTGATGGTCCTCTCCAATAAATGATCAATGCTCAACTGCTGCATTATGAAAATAATGTAAGCCAGTTCTACAATGAAGTAGATGCTTCATTGTAACAAGAGAATTAACAGAAAGCACAATTTTTCCCGGTAAAGACTCGTCGTTAGTACCTTTCCACTACGAGGGATAATCCCTCTCAGCTCTTTGATACGATCTTGGATCAGCTGACGGTCTTTGGGCCTCGGTCGAGTACTTTCACCAGGCTTAGCTCTTTTCCTGGTGGGCTTCTTTGAAGTTGCAGCAACAGCATTTCCAGCATTTACACTATAGCTATCATCAATCCATAAACCTACTTGTGATTTTTGGTGAACTTCGTTGAAAATAGTATTATTACTATTGTCCCAGGTCTGTGAATGCTGCACCAGATTCATGTTCCCACCAGAGCAAGAAAGGCCTTCAAGATGACCTTGATGAAAATTAGACGAACAACTTCCAGTTTTTCTTCTTTTAATGGTGGAAAATTGATCCTCGACACTAGATTTGGTAACATAAGAAGAACTACTAACACCACCTAGAAGCTTTTGAAGCCCAAGTTCGGAGAATAATCCTTTGCGCTTGCCGGTCATGGAATGAACATCCAATTCTGATATTGGTGATGAAATTCCAGAAGTAACAACCGAGTTATCACCATGCAATAGAGGCATAATGACATCTTCCGAGGACTCCCCGGCTTTTCGAAATCTAAAATCTATTCCAATGCCACTAAACAGATGTTTTCCATTACCATGGACAGTTGAAGATTTCTCTATATTAGATATGAATGCATCGGTGATGGATCTTTGCGATGAATTAGCCGCTTGTCTAACCGGAATGTCTATAACTGCATCACCTCCTATCTGAATGGATGGCATAGAGATAACCCCTGCTGAACATGAAGGATCACTAGTCATTGTAGCTCCTGCTTCATGAATGTGTTGGTGGGGTGAAGAAGAAAACCACTGGGAGAGCTCGTCCATTGTAAAGGAGCTCGAGAGATCTGTCGAAAAGTCAGCTAAGCTAAAATCCTCTGTGCTTCTCTGTAGGCTAATTACACTATCCAGAAGTCCAGCGCTGGGGTCAAAAGAATGTTGTTTCGGTTCCGTTTCGCCAAAGCTGTCTAGAGTATGCGATTCTGCATCAACCAATTCTCCTGTGCAATAAAATGATGTAAATCCTGAACCACCCTGTAAACTTTGTTCTGTATTTCCACCAAGTTCAAGACCATTTGCCTTTTTAGGAAGTGAAAATGAAGGATCCCATACACCCCTTTCAGACAGAAACGACGTCTCATATGAAGTCAAAATCGAATCCTCACCGTCCAAAGGACTAGTGCAAGGGGTATTAGCAGCCAAGAAGTTAATACGAGAATCCTTATCGAAGTTCATATGCTTGTTTCGAATACCATGATCAAAGCTGGAGGATTCGGTGAGATTTTTCAAGGAACGTGACCATCCTGTTGGCTCTGTAGAGCATCCGCCATGTTCGGTTGTCACATTCTCACTGTAGAATTTTCCACCTGACGTGAGGGAAGAAAACAATCCATCAAGATTGCAAGTTTCGAATTCGAAAGGCGTATGCCCATGACAACTTCCCGTGTCATGAAACAAATTCTCCGTTTCAGCCAAAAATTCCAACCTCTCAAAAATCTGCAAGAACAGCAAAAGATCAACTAGCATTCTTCAGCAACTCCACTTACACATTAATTTATCAATTAAGTATGGTTCTCATAAGAAGAAATCGAAATATCAATCATTTTTATGTGTACTAACCTTCTTTGTGGATCCAAACTGAACCACTCCCAATCTTCCTACAGAGACTACCACAATTGTCTGCAGATCATGTTTGATTGTAAATAAATGCAGGTTATACACAAAGATTCTCAGATAAAATAGGGTAATTTGAGAGGTACCTTGATCCCAGATGAAAATTGGTCTTGTAACTGAGATTCATCCTGGAATATATTTTCATTTCCAGATGAAAATTGGTCTGAGAAAATCCATTGATGTTTTCCAGTGAAAGCAGCTTGGCCAATTATTCTAAAGTAGAGAAAACAACAAGGTTGGCCCTATTACAGATCTTGAGATGACAGGAAAACACAAATTCTGGGGAAAATGATTACCCTTCACCAAGGATGTGGAATTTTAGAACCATATCGTCAATTAATGGAGTCATTTGTTGTTCATAGTAGGCATCTTCCATTGTTAACAACCTGCTAATATTCCAAGATTGAAAATCTATAATTAGAAAAGTTTTTTGGAAAATCACCATTTTTGTACTGCTTGTCTGAATTGGAACATGCATGCAGGCTTTAGCAACTAAAACTCGGTGAAACAAAAGAAAGAATCTGCAGCTAAGAAAAAGTTGTAGTAGTAGCAGTAGAGATTGCAGCAAAGAAAGCAGATCTTGAAACAAACTAAAAGCTAAATTTATTAAAACTTTTTGGAAGAAGCAAGCAAACAACACAGGAAACAAAAGATGAAGCAAAATATTACAAAAACAAACAAACAAACGAAAACTTTACCTGGAATTTCTGTGATCGAAGCGCCAAAAAACACCATAAGACCACCCATTACTGCAACAAAGATTCTTTAGTGTTTGCTTTAACGCTGAACCCATTTTCAGAAAGAACAAAAAAGACTAAACTTGATGACTTCACGATCCAAAACTCATTTCCTTGAACCCATTAAACCTAGGCTTAAACTCCAGTTAAACTAAGCTCCTCACTGCCTCTCTCCTCCTTTTTCTTGCAACAGAAACACAAAACAAACCCAAAATAAAAACACAAAACAAGAGGTAAAAGGGTACAAAAGAATAAGCTTTTCTGTTAGGCTTTTGTTTATCTCTTCCAAGACTAGGACTAGGCGGAATGAAAACAGAAAATGGCCGGTGAGAGAAATTAAGAAGAAGAGCTCAATGTATAAATATATAAAATAATAGAGAGAGAGACAGAGAGAGAGAGAGAGACAGCAAAGGAAAGAGCTTATGATTTTATGAAACAGAAGGAAAAAGAAAGATGGGTGGCGATGGTTTTTAATTTTGTCTCACTTTCATCTCTCGTTTGTTCTTTTATCTTATTATAAACTTTAAAAAAATGGTTTTTTTTTATAAATGGTCCTAACTATAAGATATTATTTTATTAAATCCTTTGATTATTAAAAATTATAAAATTGTCATCTAACTATACGGGTTTACTTTGTTGAGTCATTTGATTATTAAATGTTATAAAATAGTCACCCGACTGTTTATTATGTTCCAAACACATCTTTTTTCGTTAAAAAATTAACGACAGCCTGAGTTGTAAGTTAATGTTGACTAAGATATGATAAAATCTTATCTTACAATCTCAAACGACTATTATATCTCAATCAACATGTTAAGGTTTAGCTTAGATGATAGTTAATTTTTTAATGAAAAATGATGATTTATGAACAAATGCATAGTCGAGTGATCATTTTGTAACTGTTAAAGTCGAGGGACTCAACAAAGCAACTCCTTATAGTCGGGGGACCATTCTATAACTTTTAATAGGCAAGGGACTGAATAAAATAGTATCCTATGGTCAAAGGACCAATTGTGTACATTGCCCATTTTTCTTTTGGGTTTGAAACGATTTTAGAGATTATTAATTTCGGACAAGAAGGGAATCTGATATTTACATTCCATAGATGATGGGAATAACAGTGACGTCCCTTGCTGGTCATTTAAACATCGTACTTTGCATTTCTCTGTCTTTATATTTTCTGGGCTCTGTCGCTTTGATTTCTCATTTTTTTTCCGTTTGTCTCTTGAGAAAAAAAAATTAAGAAAATTCTATGTTGAATTTACTTTTTATTTATTATATGGATTTATATAAAGGATAAATTAAACTTTTAGTATCTAAATTATTGGTTTCGATCCGTTTCAGTATCTAAACTTTTATTTTTTCAAAATCATACATAAAGTTTAATTTTTGTTTCATTTTAGTAACCTCGTACCAAATTTAACTTTAAATTTTGAAAAACTTTGAAAGTTTAGGTACCAAAACGGGCCAAAATTGATAGTTTAGGTATTAAACGTGTTAAGTTTTCTAAATGTGAGATACTAAAATGAAATGGAAAATTAAACGTTAAGTATTATTTTAAAAAAATTAAAAATATAAATACTAAAACAGACTAAAACTTTAGGTACTAAATATGTAAGTTATCCTTATATAAATAACTATTATCTTTATATAAATAACTATTATCTAAAATCTGTTACATCTCTTTAAATGATGCTTTAAAAAATAAAATAAAAATCATATTAACATATTGTTATAAGATTAGAGAGAATTACGGGTTGGTTCGAGTTATAAGCAGCTTGATTCCGTTTAAGCAATATTTCAGGTTCGAGTTCTTGTGTATGCAGAAAATCCTTGCTGTGATACTCACCCACCAAAACTAGGTGTGCGACGCGGGTCGGTCCGGAATAATCAAGACAAAACCTTAGAGCTGGAAGGACAACAGAAAGAAATTAGAGAGAATTAAGTCAAAAGATCTTTGTGATCAAAATTATTTAATTCGAATCATTACCGTTGATACACATATCTTCCGAAATTAATATACATACTGATTTTATTTCAACTCTAATAATTATTTTAAAATAATTAAAAATAATTTTTTGAAAGTAAAATCCATAATTATAAATACATATCTTATTTATCGTTGTATTTACAATTATTCATTAAATTAAATATATTTTTATATAATATATGTTATTATAGATAGTCAGCATCCAAGATATTAGTTTTATTTGAATAATGAAGAAATGCACAAATTCCAATAAAATTCCTTCCTTAATTAATTATGACTCCAACTCTGTTCTATGTTATTCATAAATACGTTGTATTAAGTATTTTCATCAAACACGAGATAAGATTAAGTAGAGACCACCAACATGGACTCTAGACACAGCCGTTTGGGGATAGGCCTGAAAATCAACCCAACGAATACGAACGGAGGTATATTCATGTTCGTTCGTTTAATTTTAACCGAACAAATGAACGAACACGAACATAAACGAACGAAAAAATTTCTTGTTCGTATGTGTTTGTTAAGGAATGTAAATTGTTCGTGTTCGTTCATATTCGTTCATTTAAATGATAAGATAACACAAATGAACGAACATGAACGAACGGATGTAAACGAACATGAACGAACGGATGTAAACGAACATGAACGAACAGATGTAAATGAACATAAACGAACGTAAACGAACACAATAAATTAACGTAAATGAACATAAATGAAAATAGATTTCTTTCTTTCCTAATAGTTTTAGGATTAGATTTTATTTAATTGTTTTGAGTTTTTTTTATTTGTATTTAAAATTAATTGAATTTTAAAATATTTATGGGTATCATATTAAAATTTATTGAGCTTTAATATTTTAAATGGGTATAGAGAGGTTGGGCTAAACATAAATGAACGCATATAAACGAACGAACATATTACTAAACGTTCACAAACGTAAATGAACGAATGAGCCCTCTGTTCGTGTTCGTTCATTTAATTAAACGAACACAAAATATTGTTAATGTTCGTTCCTTTAATAAATAAATGAACTTCCCGTTGAACGGTTTACGAACAGTTCGCTGAATGTTCGGTTCGTTTACATACCTATTTGGGGACTAGTGCTTAGAATAATTAATTATGGGTAGGATTAATTATATTAATGGTCTATTTAATTCGATTTAAAAATTAAATTCTTTTCTCTGCATCTAACTTAATCAAAGTTTTGGAGGATCTTGTCCAACTTTTTAGGTCCCTAAATATATATAGAATAATTAAAATTTAATTTAAAAAGGAATATAATTATAGTTATTTTAAAAAAATCAATTTAGTCACTAATTACAACCATTATTCCTATTGTATCACTTTCGTTCAATGGATAATATTATAAAATGTGGATGTGATCCTTTTTATACTATGTTTACTCCTTAATATTTAGATATTCTCTTAATCTATTCTTTATTTTGCATAGTTTATTTAATGACGGATTCAGAAATATTTTAAAGATAAATACATATTTATATATATTAACAATATAAATTTTATATAATATCGACATAAATAAAAGAAATTTGATCCATATAATAACTAAAATAATTATTTGAAAAAAAAAATCAGATTTTAATGTCTTTATTAAAGTGTGATCTGCCACCGGTTTTATCCCAAAAGGAAAAATCAAATCTTGAAACTCAGTGTAGACAGATTTGCTTTGTCGTTTTCCTTTAAAATTCTATCGGGAATTTAATCATTATGATAAGTTAAAAGAATTTCATCGACCGTCATTCGGGTAGTTATACGCTGTAATATCTTTAATATAAAATTTAAAAAAATTATCAGTTTTATTATTATTTAAAGAGAAAATCGCCTCAGTGACCAAAAATGCCTTATAATATACGATTTTAACCAACTTTTTTTGGATTTGCCAAAATGACCAACAAAATCGCAACGCGAAATAAAAATCGCAACGCGATCCCCAGAATCGCAAATCAGTTTCCAAAATCGCAACGCGATTCTTGAAAATCGCAATGCGATAGTACAAATTCGCATTGCGATTTTTCAAAATCGCAACGCGAATATGAAAATCGCAACGCGAACACATAAATCGCAACGCGTATCCGTAAATCGCAACGTGTATCCGTAAATCGCAACGCGTATGGGTAAATCGCAATGCGTATCCGTATATCGCAACGCGTATCCGTAAATCGCAACGATAATACATAAAATCGCAACGCGTATCCGTAAATTGCAACGCGATATTTAAAGCGCCATTATAATCGCTACGCGTATTTTATTTTCAAATTACAAAAACGAATATTAAGACAAAATCCCGTAATCGCAACTCATAACCTAAAACCTAAAATCACAACTCAGTCCCATCTCCATCTCTCACTCTCTACGGCGAAGAAATCCGTCCCCATCTCCGAAGATTTCCGTCCCCATCTCCGGCGAAATCCCTCACAACCATTCACGGTCAGAAATCCCTCACAATATTCAGAAATGGAAAATCAACCTCCGAGGGTTAGTTTTTTTAATTATTTTTATTTTGAAATGTTTGCATTATTGTAGGTTTTTCATATTGAAACTGATGATAAGTTTACTGGTCATTTCAATAATAGATTAACCATTTCACTTAGATTTCATTTCGCGTTACGATTCTGTCGTTGCGATTTTCATTTCGCGTTGCTATTCTCTCGTTGCGATTTTCAAGTTAGTATTTGTCTTTGTCTTGTTCTGTCTTTTGGTTGAAGTAATGCAATCCATTCAAGTTTCAATTTGCAGAAGAGTCGCAACGAGATAAATGAAAATCGCAACGAGAGAATGACTGTCGCAACGAGAGAAATGAAAATCGCAACGAGAGAATCGCAACGCGAAATGAAAATCGCAACGAGAGAATCGCAACGCGAAACCAAAATCGCATTGCGATTTTCATTTCGCGTTGCGATTCTCTCGTTGCGATTTTCATTTCGCGTTGCGATTCTCTCGTTGCGATTGTCATTTCGCGTTGCGATTCTCTCGTTGCGATTTTCATTTCAACCAAAAGACAAAACAGTGTTGCAAATTTTAGTTTCAAGAATAAACTACTACTTTTTATGTTTATTGTTTTTGGTATATCTTCACAGTGTAGTTTTTGGTATATCTAACTTGGTATGTTTATTGTTTTTGTAGAAATTTTTTTCGGCTCAATTGACCTTGAGAAATAAAGTCAGCCTGGCCACTACAATTGCTTCGAAGCTTTCACCTGCTCAAAGACAATTGTTTGAGGAAACCTGCTTCGGGCCATGGCTGAGAGTACAGCATCCGGGTGGAGATGCTAATTTGACCCATTTGTGGCTTCAGACCATGACATCAAATCTACCCGACAGTATACAAC